ATATAATTATAATTAATTGTAAAACATATATAATATAATGTTAACAATAATATAGGCTAGACCTAATGAATTATCGATAATGTAATGTCATCTATTGATAAAAAATATCCATTTGATTAATTAAACAGCAGATTTACTTCTGTGGCAGTGCCAATAGAAAACTGCAGTCTTTTGGCACTGCGGCAGTGCCGACAGAAAATATGAGCTTTTTTCGCACTGCGGCAATGCCGATAGAAAATAACAGCTTTTTCGCACTGTGGCAGTGCTGATACAAAACAGCAGCTTTTTCGCACTGCGGCAGTGCCGATAGAAAACAGCAGCTTTTTCTCACTGCGGCAGTGCCGATAGAAAACAGCAGCTTTTTTTTTTTTGCACTGCGGCAGTGCTGACAGCCTAGGACTAACGCCCGTGTTCATGCTACGAAGCTATGCAAAAATGTTCAAGTTTCCCTTTTTTTCTTTCACTCCATTTCAAATCTAACGTTTAAATACTGTGACGTTTATCAAAGAAATATTTATCAAGGTTTTCGATAAGTTACATACAAGAACATTACAATTTTACGGTAAAATGTACAAACAAATAGTTTAAAGTTTTCAAAAACTGTAACAATTAAAAAAAAAAAAACCTAACTAGCCTGCCTGTTGTAACCACTATAACGGCTTTGGTTTGGTGCCTTATTGGAAGGTCTTAGATTGGAATTTCATTAAATTTATTTGTCTCAAACAAATGTGTATACATAAACAGAAACGGCAAAAAACAATCACAAAAGTACAAAAAAAAAAAAAAAAAAAAAAAAAAAAAAAAAAAAAAAAAAAAAAACAGACAGGACAGTCCAAAAGTAAAATCAATCACTGTAGAGTGGAGGCCCTTCAATGGAATCAAAATGAGTTTATCATTTTTCTTCACATATTAATACATGAGCGAAGTGTCTCCCTTCAAGATACCCAGTACCAGCAGCAAAGTTATTGGAAAGCAATAGTATAAAATAACACTTTCCCTTCCCTTACAAAAAAGCACTATCGGGATTCCATATGCTTAATATGACCAACCGTTAGTTGAAACAGTTAGGGTTTGTTTATTTATACATTATAGTATTATGTTTTCACATTTTAAGCTTATATTTGTTTACCGGTACTTGTTTATTCATAGAAGTTACAAATTACAGAGAGAAACTTTATTCTTTTACAGAAGCCAATGGTACAGTATTATTATACTGTGTACCTATTCCATAAACCATTCAAATAGGTCCTAGTATCTGTTTCATGTATTATTAGATGACTGATTGATTTTTTATTGTGATTTTGTCCGAACATCAAAATGGAAATTTAATCATAATTGTAATTGAGAAAAATAAAGTAATCATAATTGTAATTGGAAAATACAGTGTAATTGTAATTATTACATTTTCATTGTAATGACCCCATGCCTGCATTCAAGCACCAGTTCACCTTGAATAAAGGTGAGAGTGATACATTTTCATTACAATCAATAGAGTTTGTCCGTCAAGACATTTTTGTTGAATGGTCTACCAAGATTTTGTAGAGTCTATTGGTATCAGCAACGGACTCTGCAAAATCTTGGTAGGATAGTCTACCAAGATTTTGCAAAGTTTGTTGGTATCAGCAAACAATTTAGTTCTATTTGCAGCATAATTGAAATATAACAACACGTCTGGGATATTTAGTCAGGCTACACCTATAGAATGGACTAGATTTTGAAACATATTTGCAAATGTGGTAGATTAGCATATTATTTATCATTGTGAACTTACTATTAGCCGACTTAAGGAACATATCGCCAAATGGAATTTTGCTTAGTCCAGCTGAGACTAAACTTTCTTGAATAATTCCTTCCCAATCATAATCCTTTAGCTCCGTTCCTTTTAGAACCTCCTCTAATATGTTTCCTCCGCCAGTTATCAATGCTGCAGTCAATGCACCTGCCTTACTAACTCCACCAGCAACTCCAGTCACGAATGCCTTCGTTGTACCAGTCCAAGTCAGGGGTTCCTCGGCTAACAAATTTCCAACAACGTAAGTTCCAACACCAAACAAGCCTCCAAAACCTCCACTTACAACAATTGCTGGCAATGTTCCTCTTGGATCGACGCCAGAGAGAGGATCATTGCTCAGATAAACGTAAGCGTTGTACGATTTTCCATTTATTCCGAGTGGGTCTGGAGACAGAAAGCGACCGTGTCGATGATCATATATACGTGACCTCATATAGTAGAGATGAGAAAATACATCAATTTGTCTTACTCCCCACTGACCAACAAACGTCCACTTGTTGCTAATTCTTTCAGTCTTGCTGATTATGCCACCAAATGGATCATATTGGTAAGTATTCGCCAATTGTCCATTGGCATCCGTCAGTGCATTAGTTGATCTGAAAGCAATGTTCAAAAAAGTTTATAGCCTGTGGTGATAATTCAAAACAAAATATTATTTTTATTGAAATAAATTTAGTTTAAGAGATTTACAAAATTCGAGTTAAGCAAAACTACAAGCACATAAATTCTATTAAATATGTATGCCTATTATTACATTATACTAATACAGTATTTTTATTAATAATTTATAATTTGATTTCACTCAAAATTCGACCGTAAAATGTCTGGTAGGCAAGAAGGGAACATGTCCCTTGAAGTTTGTGGCAGGAAAATCTTGGTACAATGTAGCTCAATACAGTCAGTTTAAGGATAAAATTCCCAGTAAGCACTATGTTCATAGCACAGGTATTTCACTCATTGCAGGCAGAAAACAGTGAATATCCAAAGTTCAGTCTTACTTGCAAAGATGACGCAACTACTTTTACTGTACATCCGTCATTAGTGCTCTATTTAATTAGTGTTCTATTAATGTTTAATTTTACACTCCTCCCTATTATTATTATTATTATTATTATTACTATTATTATTATTATTATTATTATTATTATTATTATTATTATTATTATTATTATTATTATTACTATTATTTGATAACTTCACTCACTTGTCTATATTTTTGATGTAGCCAAAATACAGTAGATGGAGAGTGTCAGATTCAAAACAATTTATATTTAATTTCATAACAAGATATATAAATACAGAGGCATGTATGAACATGTTTTCCGTTTTCAAATATTTATACTGTATTATTATTATTCTCGGTATTTCTTTATTCAAAACAATATAAAAAAACACACACATTTCATAAAATATAGCAGCTCAGTGATGCATCAACATTGAGTTGATTTGCATTTCATGATAACATCATTAGCAAGAGAAAGTCGAATCCGTCAAACAAAAACGAAACATCAGAAAAAGAAAAAAAAAGTGCGCCGCTCAAAGATTACAATCATTAATAAGCTTCACCAAATACGGTAACGTACTGCTCGCGTGGCGCACCGTATTACAAACTATATATTTAAGGAAAAGGCCTTACCCGAGTCTATCAAATTGATAGTAGAAGATTTCATTATCTTCTTTTTTCAAAGCAACTAATCCGTTTAGTCCAGCGAAAATATATTTCTGAATATGTCCAATTGTTTGCTGTGGGTGTAAAGTATAAAATCATATTTTGAAGATAAACATATTAATTACCATATAAGTTTTAATATAATAATAATTGTCGACTTATGTAGCGCATATTGTAGGGACCTCTATGCGCTTACATTATTACCCCCAGTTCACTGGATCAAGCACATATGGAACACACACTCAAGCCCCATTGGGATATTCCATA